AAGCACATTTCCCCAAAGTTATTTTTTACACATGATCTTCAAAAGAATGGTGATATCAATGTGTAACAAATTCGTTCAAGTGATAATATGGCTGATTTGTTCACCAAATCTCTACCAATATCAACCTTCAAGAAACTAGTGTACAAAATTGGGATGCGAAGACTCAAGGATGTGAGTTGATGCTCTCATCAGGGGGAGTTAATACGCGTTGTACTCTTTTTCCCTTACAAGGTTTTGTCCCACTGGGTTTTCCTTGCCAGGTTTTTAACGAGACAACCAAAAGACGTATTTCTAAACATGTGTACTCTTTTTCCTTCACTAGGATTTTTTTTTCATAGAGTTTTTTTTCCTAATAAGATTTTAACGAGGCACATTATCTTTGGACATCCAAGGGGGAGTGTTATGATAAATATCACATTATGGTGGATGTCTACTCTTCTTCCATGATCTTCATCTCAAATGTTTAATGACATATTCAATGACATATTTTGTATGTTCAATGACATATTCCATGACATATTTTCTTCACTTTTATTGTTATTTTGGGTTATATTTTATAACACTTTTCACATTCCAGCTATTTTATACTTGATGTATTCTGTTACTTTGTCATTTACACATGACTAGCTAGTTTCATCTCTTTGCACTAGGCATCGTCCTGAGAAGTGAGACTTAATTTTTATTATTACAAGTGTGCAAGAGAAAGAAGAGCTTCATTTCTTTATATAGTTGTGCATGCACTGTACAGAAAGATGAAAGGGTAGAGATTACTGGAGTCCTTAGGGTGATAGATTAATAAGGTGCAGTCATAAAGCTACTAACATGGCTGATTGATATGTGGTATTCTTTCTGGTATCTTGCATTTATTTGGCGTCAGTGTAGTAGGTGGAAATATGCCCATTTACGTTCAAAACGTTCTTGACGTGCTGACATTCTTTTGGGAAAGTTTCACGTGTTACCTCTTTTTGCCTACTCATATTTAGACAAAGGTTGAGTGTCTCTTGAATTCCTTTTAATGTTGTAAGGCATATATCTTCTCTTATATAAAACATTTGCTGAAAGCAGAGGTGTGCACAACATTAGACATGACTATTAATCTTCATCAGTTTCTTGGTTATGTTGGTAGCTGTTCTCTTGCTAAGTTTGCCTGCACTTTTAAGACAATTTTGGACCTTGCCCTGTTTTCAGGAAGGTTTTGTCTGCTGCATCTAACCGTTTTCGGCTAGTTATTTCCACATGTATTTCTATAGCAACTTTTCGTCTTTGTGCATGGTTTTAGTGTTTTCTTTTCTAGTGTTTTATCAGGTATTAGGTTTGCTTTTATCAAATTGTTCTGGTAGCAATTTGCTTCTTTTAATACTATTTGCTGGCTTGTCAGTTGATATGATTGCTCTTCATCTATTCGGTTTTAGGTGTTGCACTAACACTCTGCCAATCGGATCCTGTACTAAATGATGGACGTAGAAAACATGAACAATCCAGAGAAGCTGTTTTGGATGGAGTACGAAAGAGTTTCCTCGAGAAGGTTGTGGCAGAGCATGAAGATGATGATGGATCTTCAAGTGATTAATTGTGTAGTTTTCTTAATGTCTTTGTGGCTTGGTAGAACATGTATGGTTTGTAGCAGTAACTCATCTAGTGGCTACTTTTTGTTTTCAGTTTTTACTTGACGAAATCTGATGCGTGGATTAATCCATTCGTCTTATTTGCTTGATACCAGTGAATTCCGGCAAGGATTTAACTTACGACAGACAAACAATGTAGAATCTTTGGTATACAGTTATTGATGATCTTGAGAAATGTTTTCAGTTATGATGACCTGCCCAAAATTAGTAAGGAAATGAGTGGAGCAGTTTAAAATATTTTTGAGAATAACAGATTAGGTTGACATATATGGACAAACAAATGATAAATGTTCAAGTTGACTATATCATTATCTACAAGGAAAACTATTTACAATGCAGAAGCACTTCTCTCTGAAGAAGGAACCTTCCCTTCCCAACACACACACACACACAAAAAAAAAAAGGCAACATTCTTGCCTTGCTAATGTGAAATTACAAGTATATTTTGCCTCCTAAATAGTTAGCTGTTTTGACAGCAGATTATATGAGCACTTAAGTTTGAACAATGTTGAGGTTCCTCAGAATCTGCATTCCAATCAGACAAACCTAAGGCATAGAAGGTATCATCTGCCACTGAGAACTGTAATTGGTGTAAGTTGGCCTTCCATGAGAGAGTCACCTGCAGCATCATTCGACGATGGAGCTCTAGCTGGCCACACAAATGCAGGTTTCTCAGTAGGAATAGTTGGTAAAACTGATTCCCCTGTTAGAATCTGTAAAGCAGTTTTCATGCTTGGCCTCTCATATGGATTCGGCTGGCAGCAAGCCAATCCTAACATTAACACACATTCAGCTTGCCCTTCATCAAATTCTCTATCCAATCGAACATCTATGGCATCAATGATCCTTTCACTCTTATAGAGATCCCACACATATTCAATGATTCTGTTGCTGTAGATATTCTCCTCATTTTGGTTTCCAGGTTTTCGACCACAGGCAACTTCAAGAATGAGCACTCCAAATGCAAACACATCTGTCTCAACTGTGGCTCGGCCTATAAGGAAACTCTCTGGAGCCATATAGCCAAGAGTTCCAGCTATCTCTTTCGTCGAATGGTGAGTCATTCCACTCACTTGAACTGTCCTAGCCAATCCAAAATCTCCCAACCGAGCATTGAGTTCTGAGTCAAGCATGATATTGCTGGCTTTTATGTCCCTATGAAGTACTCTTTTCGCGCACCCATTATGCAGATAATCCAGTGCTTGAGCTATGCCACAGATAATGACACGTCTTTTTTCCCAACTCAGGCTCAACCCTTCTCTGATTTCACCTTTTTCTTCACAAAATATCAACTTGTCTAAGCTCCCATTTGGCATGAACTCATAGACCACAAGGAGTTCATTGCTTTCATAGCACCATCCTATCAATTTGACAAGGTTTTTGTGGTGGAGATTGCCAATGGTTGTGACTTCTGCTATGAGATCTTTTGCCCCTTGACTTGAATCTCTAAAGAATCTCTTCACAGCTACCTCTTTATCAGCTAGCAACCCTTTGAACACTACTCCACATCCTCCTCTTCCAAGAATGTTCCTGGGATCAAAGCTCCCGGTCCCTCGTTTCAAGTCCTTTAGCTGGAATCTCTGTGGTGCAGTAGCTGAACTCCGAATCAGTATCTCTATTTTCTCATCTTGATCTATCACTTGCATCCTCTTCTTTTTCCTCCTCCAGGTGAAATATATAAAAACCCCGCCAAGAAACATAACCAGAACCGATATTATTGGTATCAAGATCCACAACCATAATAGGCTACCATCATTATCATTACCAATTTCTATGCTTGTAAAATTCCATGCCTTTATGCAGTTCAGCTGAGTATATATCCCAGTTGAAGCTGAAAATCCCACGAAAACATCCTCGGGAAGATAGGAAAGATCAAGAGGCATGGAAATGATGGGATTTCTCGCGTTAAAGTCCCCAGTCTGATTACTCATGAATGCATAAACATTCAAGATCTTTGATTCTCCATCATACTCAACACTTGCTATAACATCAATAGCTCGTGAAAGATTAACACCACGGTCGGTTAAAGAAGCTTGATTGATAGAATAGATGCTGTTTATGTCAATGCCAACATGATTATCATCAAGATCTTCAAAGTAACTTTTCCTTGTGTCAAATTCAACTGCAAAAATGTTGTTTGATAAAGATCCATTTGTACTTGCATTCACAATTCCAAGCCATTGTCCATCACTATTATCTGGGATGGAATAAAGACCACTTTCCTTTGTCAATATGAAAGCTAATCCTTCACCCCATGGATTACTCTGAGGAGTGATATTAATCACAAACGTGGAATTAAACGATGCTGTGATGTCCTTCTTTCGATTCCATAACTTGAAAGGCTGATGATACCATATTCTTCCAGATAAGTTTGTGATAGTAGTTCCACGAGCATCGCCTGTTACTTGCATAGCAGCATTCAATCCTATGAAGGAATAATTAGTAGTGATGAAATCATTTTCGTTTTGCTTGGGGAAATTTGCGTAGCTGAAATTCAGGCAATCCACCCTAATAACAAAAAAACCTTCCAAGAAAAGTGTGAATATGAAGAAAATTAGATAAAGAAGGGAGGTTAAATAACTAATCTTGCCTAGATAAAACATAGTAACATGTCACAAACTTATGTTTTATGCTTCAATATGTAAGTATGTAGGGAAAGAATTGGACTTGGAAATCTCTATGAACAAATGAATTAAGAAGGAAATGATTTGTTTGTGCAGGACAGAATATTATTCTCAGTTGAAACAAAGGAGGTGATAGTTTCTCCATTTTATGGAGAAACTTCAAGTGATTTGATCAAAACGTTTGACTTGAATTAAGAAGTAACTTCCTTGGTGTTGCGCTGCATGTTTGTTAATACTTTTCTCACAGTCCCTTGCTTATCAAGATATACTATTCCAAAGAGAGCTATAGAGAGAGACAGATAGAGAGAGAGAGAGTTCATGAACATATTGTTCTCTCATTTTGCATTTTATGTGATGGTATTATAAACCAAGAAATAAAAAAAAAATGAAATAATACTTCTGGATATCATTTTTTGTTATTAATCTGTATTGCTGTAAATAAATAAAACAATAATCTTTCTGAAAACAGAAACAGAAAGTTAGTAGAAATAAATTCTGAAAACAGTATTTGAACTTCAAAATAAATTTTGAAAACGGTATAGGCACAAATCGAGCCCATTAAATACACAGTGTGTCCTTAAGAAAATTATTCCCCTCAAGTACCCGAGGTTCTGGAATATATTCTCCCAGGATAGAACGATTTAACTCATCGGAGTGTTGGTACCAAAAATGCCGATGAACAGTGAACCACTTGAAGGCTGTAAAACACACTGGAATTTTTGTGTAGAAGAAGAAGAAGATTATCAGAAAATTTCGTAAGTAAATATTCTGGGATTTGAAGGAATATTTATAGCCAATTTGGTACTGTTTCTGAAAAGGTTTGCAACCTTCAGAACAGCCATAGCTGTTTGAACAGGTTTGACACTGTTTCAAAACAGCCATAGTTGTTGGAAATATTGCAGGAAAATTAAACGGATTTAAAATAATCCGGGAAAGAAAAAATTAGACCGGACCGGACCGGGTCGCGGGTCATGGGTGATTTGAATTTTCGTTAATTAATTTTAATTAATTAATTAAATATTTGAAAAGAAATTTGTTCAAAAAGATTAATCAATCAATCGATCTTTGACCAAATCCAAATCCAAATCCGAAGCCGAGCCGAATGAGCGAGCCACGACGGCGACGATGCGAGGCTTGCCTTCTTCTTAGCTCTTTAAGAGCCAAAAGATGAGCTTCTCTATATGTACACAAAGATTTTCTTTCCTTCTACCAATGATGGACAAAGTGCATTAGTAAAGTGAACTCATTCAAAATTTCACTTCCCTCCATTTATTTTCCCACCATTTTCCATTCACACTTTTTTTGTTATTAAATAACAAAATCCAACAATCCCCCACATGAATGGGAAATGGCTATAAACTTAAAGGAATGCACGAGCGTGCGTGTTTCACATGCAAGAATTAATTGCATTTGGATAAGTAGGTTTCCCTTTGAACTTTCCGTAGTGAACTTATATCAGATATACTCGGTCAATCAGTAGATTTGATATCTTTGAACCGTCGACCTTTGTTGTATACCTAGACAACATAAGTCACACAATCAATCCTTAACCATCTATAGTTCTCACGGTTGTGTTCGTTTCAGCCATGAACACCGTCTGGTTTCATGAGTGCTTAGAGAATGGGCCTTTACTTTCATTCCCCTTGAAGTGGCTTACACTTCACACTCATATAGGTGATTCCTAAACGTGTAATCCTAAAGACACACTATCTGGTCATATCCTGCCAGACTTAACAAATCATTAAAAAGCTTTAAGCTTTATTGACTCATCAAAAAGCCTTATTGCTTTACCTCGTTTTTGAACATTGTCTTCATCACGAGAATGAGTTGAGTTATTTGACAATGTTGAACCGTCATTCATAACTTTGTTTGATCTCTTTGAACCTAGCTCTTGGGATCTCCAGTCTGCTAGGTAGAGTTACCGCCATGATGACTTGTCCTAGACCTTTAACCCCATTCCCTTTGATGATCTTTCAACTGCCTCTCTAGATAGGCCTTTTGTAAGTGGATCCGACACGTTATCTCTTGACTTTATGTAGTCAATTGTGATAACACCACTAGAGAGTAGTTGTCTAACGGTATTGTGTCTCCGTCGAATATGACGAGATTTTCTGTTATACATACCGCTCCCTGCCCTACCTATTGCCGCTTAACTATCACAAAATATACAAATAGGTGCCAAAGGTTTGGGCCAAAATGAAATATCTTCCAAGAAATTCCGGAGCCATTCAGCTTCTTCACCGGCCTTATTTAAAGCTATGGATTTAAATTCCATTATAGAACGGGCGATGCACGTTTTTTGGATGATTTCCAAGATAATGCTCCACCCCAATTGTGAAAACATATCGACTCGTAGATTTAATTTCAGATGATCCAGTGATCCAGTTTGCATCACTATATCCCTCGATCACGGAAAGATATTTGTTATAATGCAAAGCATAATTTTAGGTATGTTTCATATATCCCAAAACTCGTTTCATTGCCATCCAATGTATTTGATTGGGATTACTTGTAAACCGACTCAGTTTGCTAATAGCACATGCTATATCTGGTCGAGTACAATTCATGATATACAACAAACTTCCCAATACTCTTACATAGTCCAGTTTTGAGTCACTTTCACCTTCATTCTTTTGAAGTGCATAACTCACGTCACTTGGAGTCTTGACAATTTTGAAATCCAAATGCTTGAACTTGTCAAATACCTTTTCAATGTAGTGAGACTGTGAAAATGCTAGACCTTGTGGAGTCTTGTGAATTCTGATTCCTAATATCACATAAGCAACTCCTAAGTCTTTCATGTCGAATTTGCTAGCCAACATGCGTTTTGTAGCATTTATATCTGTCATGCTTTTGCTCATTATCAACATGTCATCAACATATAAATAAACAATGACTTCATGACCTGGAGTGATTTTAAATCCATTTGCCAACATTGTTTGGTCAAATTTTGTATGCCATTGTTTGGGTGCTTGTTTAAGTCCATAAAGCGACTTAACAAGTTTGCACACTTTCTTTTCTTTACCAGGAACCACAAAACCCTCAGGTTGTTCCATGTAAATCTCTTCCTCCAATTCTCTATTTAAGAAAGCTGTTTTAACATCCATTTGATGAATTTCAAGACCATACATGACCGCTAGTGCCACTAACACCCTAATAGATGTTATCCTTGTTACTAGCGAGTAAGTGTCAAAGTAATCAAGACCTTCCTTTTGTCTATAACGTTTGACAACAAGTCTTGCCTTATATTTGTCAATAGTACCTTCAGCTTTACTGTTTCGTTTAAAGATCCATTTAGAACCTAAAGGTTTATTTTCCGGAGGAAGATCAACCAATTCCCATGTATGGTTATCCAAAATTGATTGAATCTCACTATTGACCGCCTCTTTCTAAAACGCTAAATCAGAAGACGACATAGCTGCTTTAAAAGTTTGAGGCTCATTTTCAAGCAAGAATGTCACAAAATCTGGTCCAAAGGAAGTAGATGTTCTTTGACATTTGCTACNGATGTGGGATACTTTGTTGAGTATTCGGTTAGCTGTAAGGATAACTTCCCTCCCCCCAAACTCTGCGGTAATCCGGAACTTATTAATAAAGAATTCATTATTTCTTTTAATGTCCGATTTTTCCTTTTTGCAATTCCGTTGGATTGAGGTGTGTAAGGTGCAGTAGTTTGATGGATAATTCTATATTCCGAACATATTTCTGCAAACGGAGATTCATATTCTCCACCTCTATCACTTCTAATCATTTTGATCTTTTTATTCAATTGATTCTCCACTTCATTCTTGTATTGCTTAAATGCTTCAATTGCTTCATCCTTACTATTAAGCAAATAAACAGAACAATATCTAGTGAAATCGTCAATAAAAGTAATAAAATACTTTTTTCCACCTCGAGATGGTATCGACTTCATATCGCAAATGTCAGTATGAATTAAGTCTAAAGGATTTGAATTCCTTTCAACAGATTTATAAGGATGTTTTACAAACTTAGATTCAACACATATTTGACATGTCGATTTATTACACTCGAATTTAGACAATACTTCTAAATTAATTAACTTCCGCAAGGTCTTATAATTGATATGTCCTAAACGAATATGCCATAAATCATTTGACTCCAATAAATAAGAAGAAGCTAAAATTTTATTCATACTGTCAACAACCATTACATTGGGTTTGAAAAGGCCATCCGTGAGGTAGCCTTTTCCAACATACATTTCGTTCTTACTTACATCAACTTTATCAGAAACAAACAAACATTTGAATCCATTCTTTACAAGTAAAGAAGTAGAAACTAAATTCTTCATAATAGTAAGAACGTGAAGAACGTTGTTGAGTGTTAGCACCTTACCAGAAGTCATCTTCAAGAATATCTTCCCATAACCTTCAATCTTGGCTGTTGCATTATTTCCCATGGAAATTTCTTCTTCGGGACCAGCAGTAGAGTAAGTCGCAAATGCTTCTTTGCCAGCACAAACATGTTGAGTGGCTCCAGAGTCAATCCACCTTTCCTTCGGATTTCCAACTAGGTTGCATTCCGAAAGCATTGCACAAAGATCATCAATGTCATCATTCTTCTCCACTATGTTGGCTTGTCCCTTCTTATTATCCTTTTTAGGGAGACGACAATCAGGGCTTTTGTGACCAACTTTTCCACAATTGTAGCAGCTGTCCTTGAATTTCTTTTTGTTATGCTCCTTAGTTTGTCCAGAATACCTCTTCCTCTTCTTACTTTTTGGAGCATTCTCCTCAACTATATTAGCTCCCATGATCGTTGAATTTCCACGAGACTTCTTCTCGGCTGTTTTGTTGTCTTCCTCGATCTTTAGACGTATCACAAGATTTTCCAACTTCATTTCTTTGCGCTTGTGCTTAAGATAGTTCTTGAAATCTCTCCACGAAGGAGGCAATTTTTCAATCATTGCAGCCACTTGAAATGCTTCATTCACGACCATACCTTCAGCAATAAGGTCATGAAAAATAAGTTGAAGCTCCTGAACTTGGGTTCCCATAGTTTTGCTGTCTATCGTTT